GGCACAGTCTCTTCGTTGGGGGTAGTGACCAGGTCGCTACAAGCGGACACCTATCTTCCTTTGAGAGTTATGCTTGGTAGCTGGGGAGGAACAGTCCAATACATCATGCAGATCTACGATGCTGATGGCACTTACTACGTCCAGCATGGTGTAGCTTCGCCATATCTTGTCTACGTTGGATGCGACACGGACGAGGCTCCGCCTTACAATGCATGGGGTCAAGAAGGACAGACTCAACCAGTCACCACGATCAATCATCTCGCAACGGGCACCCAACCAGCTTCTACTACAACCATCTACCCCACAGATACAGCGGGCTCCAAAGTAACTACCTCCGGAACAATAACCGTTGTCAAGTACAACAAACAAGCATACGTTACTTATACCGAAGCCGGAACCAAAACTACACCGTACTTTGTCACTGTCACACCTACAGACTCTGCCGGACGCCCCATCACAGACGGCTCAGCCAAAGCAACAGTTTACCAACATATCCCACCAGTTCTAGCTCCTGGTACCAACGGCCCGGTCTACCCTTGCTCCAAGTACGGTTATATTATCATCAATCAAGCCTTCTACCAAGTCGATCTCGCCACTTCCACCTTTAAGCTCATTACCGCAGCGCTCAACAACAAAGTCAACACGAATGCTATTGGTTATAACGTTCTAGACAATTACATTTATGGAATTGAGAGCACCACTGGTTATGTCTTGCGAATCGCCGCGAACGCCAAAGTCACCCATGTCGTCAAGATTCCTCAGCTTGCGAAGTCTTATATCGCGGATATTGATGGTAACGGGCAGTATTGGGTCGCACACGGCGGGTCGCCAGGCCACATAGCCTGGTATCAAGTCAATCTCAAACCTGGCTCTGCAAACTACGGTAAGCTTGTGGCTTCCGGCCAGATAGTCAACCCGGGTGTCGCGTTCGCCGATTGGGTACAGATTCCGTCCGCTGGGAACAAACTGTGGACGTTAGCGATCAATGGCCAAGCTCACGCTGTCCTCGTGAGTATCACACTGGGTGCCACCAAGGTGCTCACCATTGAGGCAACCTTCAGTAATTGGTCTGGAACCGCCTTTGGTGCCATGTTTGCAACCAACAATGGAGATATTTATTGTAAACAGAACGCTTCTGGAAATATTTGGAAGGTCAACGTGTTTTCCAAGCGTCCACCGGTGCTTGTCACGGCTGGACCTCGGGTGCAGAACACCGATGGTTGTCGATGTGTTTACAATAACGATTACATTAGCGGCTAGTCGTTTTGGGCGTATATACCGTGTACGTATGCGTTTTATACACGCATACATCCTTAGTTTATAATATTTAGTTTTAGCCTTCCCTTTTGGGTTTTTTTTTTGTTGAGCTTGTCTGCTTAACTGGTTGTAAGACCTTGTAACATCAATCATTTGAGCAGTATATCATGTATCTTAAAATATAAGGATAAATAATATATTCAAGTAGTTAGCATTATCCAGCCTACCAGTCTAGTTTCCAGGGTGTCTATATGAAGTAAGTGATTTTTACTTGTATTTGATTAGCTTTCTGCGACATCACCGTAGCAATGAAACCTGCAGTATTTCATCAGGGCTTCGCGGCACAGGTTAGGATTAAATGTAACCCGAAAATTTCATCAATTGTTTTTTATTATTTTGTTTTATTACACGATAGCAAATCGAGCCAAGCTTTTATTCGAAGGATAAGCGTAAATATCCCACCCCCTTATAGAAAGACCGCACATCGGAACGCCGCACGTTTAGCATAAATAATAGAATAAAATAAGAAAGTCTATACAAGTCGTCAGGAAAGGAAGAGTGTCCGAGACCAGTATACTTTTGGATATATGGGAAACGAGCAAACAGCAGTCTATCAAACCCCTACTCAATAGGAAGAATAAAAAGAGTAAAGAAGAAGGAAAGGTTTTTACAAAATATATACTGATAGAGTCGGCGTCACTATCGTCCACTCTCGTAGATATTGTGCAAACTAACATCATTAGGGCTCGGCTGTTGCGATGCACCATTGACAGCAAGGTTATGGTTAGTGCTGCCGTTGACAGTCGGTGTGCCGTTCCCAAGCACAAGACCGACATCATCCTTGGTAGCCACGCCCGCGTTAACTGCTTGCATTGCCGCTTCCTTTCTCTTCGCTTTGCTTTTTTCGCCACGTAGGTCTTCGAGGTGCTTAAAGTACGCCGGGTCGCAGCCGGTAATGTACTCACCGTTGAAGACACCGACTTCAAAGTTTTCGATTGATGGATTGATGTCCGCGCAGGCTTTGATCAGGTTGGGGAGGGTTTGATAGATGACTTCATCCGCTCCGATTTCTACTGCAACCTCAGATTTGGAGCGGTTGAACGCCACCAGTTCTTTTCTATCTGCCAAGTCGATACCGTAGATATGTGCGTTGCGGATAGGCGGCGCGCAGCTGGCGAGGTAGACCTTTTTCGCGCCGGCTTCGCGGGCCATGCGCACGATTTCACGGCTGGTGGTGCCGCGAACGATGCTGTCGTCTACAAGGAGTACATTTCTTCCATTGAATTCCGTGTTCATAGCATGTAGTTTTCGACGGACAGCGGAAGTTCGTGAGGATTGGCCGGGCATGATGAATGTGCGGAAGACATAGCGGTTCTTGACGAACCCTTGGACATAGGGGAGTTCCAGTTGGTCCGCAAGAGCCGATGCCGATGTGTTTGAGGTTTCAGGGATTGGGATTACAGCGTCGATGGATTTGACTGCCTCCTCGCCGAGGATGAGTTTGACCGTCTCGGCGAGGCGTTCTCCCATCTTGAGTCTCGCCGTTTGGACCGATATGTTATCAATCACAGAATCCGGTCTGGCAAAATATACGAATTCAAAAATGTCCGGGGTGAACGCGGCCTGCGGACAAACTTGTCTGAACACGGGTTTCGCTCCCTTCCTTATGATGACGGCTTCTCCTGGTTGTATATTTCTGACGTTCCCATAACCGAGGATATCTAGAGCCACACTCTCACTAGCGAGCATGTAATCGCTCGTCCCATTGGGGTTTTGTTTCTCACCCAGAACTAATGGTCTGATACCGTACTGATCTCGGAATCCGATGATTCCAAAACCAGCCAGCATTGCAGTACAGGCGTACGCTCCCTTGCAACGGGAGTATATTCCCTTGAGCGCATTGAACAGATCCTCTTCGTTGACACGGAACTTGCCAGTTTCCTGTAGCGTGCTCGCAAAAATGTTGAGCATGACCTCGCTGTCGGAATCAGTGTTAATGTGTCTGTGAACTTCCTCGTCCAAGTACTTTCGTAGCTCGGCAGCGTTGATGAGGTTGCCGTTCTAAGGTAAAGTTGTTAGCGACCGTTCCTCGTTATAAGAGAGTGAATTCAACATACGTGAGCAAAACAGATACCATAAGGACTGTTGACGTAGAAGGGTTGAGCCTCCGCGTTGGCGCTGCTACCAGCGGTTGGGTATCTCAAATGCCCCAAGCCCATGAACCCAGGCATTTCGGAGACTCTGTTTCCATCTTGGAACACACGGGACGCCATGCCATTTCCTTTGCATTGGAATATCCGCCCTCCGTGAGCACAGGTGGCAATTCCGCAAGCATCCTAGTGAAGATGTTAGATATATACCCTTAGATATCATAATAATCATAGAAACGTACCTGCCCACGATGTTGCAGTAAATACAAGGCCTCGTGCAGCTCATAGGCCGCAGAGCCATTCATATCCGCCAGTAACACAGCAAGTATCCCACACATAGCGACGGCTTGATTTGACAGGTAGTTCTAGAATTGGTCTTTTGATGTCTGGTTAGCCGCCAATTCATAAAAGCGAGTAACGGTGAGACAAGAGCGAGGATAAATTTATTTCCAAGGGCAGATAGATCAGTAAGCCATGCATATATGTTTTGTCCGCAGAATTGTTTTTCGGAAGTCTAACATCTTTGATATTTGTATCATCATGAGAGCCACAGGGAACAGTTGACGGAGGAAAATAGTCAAACAAAAAAGTATTTGTAATCAAGATCCAAGATGGAATATATACCAACCTTCTGATAAGAATCGTCTCTGATGCCACGAAAACCTATTCGTGTGATGTTGAATGTGCCACGGAACCGATTTCGGCAGGTGTGTTGAAACCAAAGACGATGGGGGTTTCGCTAGGCACTCGTCTTTATCGGCATACGCTTGGGTGTGCAGAAAAGAGCATCTACAGTGAAGAGATGAGGAAGAGGGAGAGTGGAACCGAACAAGATCCAAAAAAAAAAAAAAGGATCGATTGTCAGTTGCAACGGTTTGAGTTTATCAAACTAGACTGCCTGCGGGTGTCTCAACCAACGGCGGCCAAGGTGCTAGCTACGGTTGGTGGCAATTCGGATAAGAACCGGGCACCAAAGGAACGATGCGATGACAGCTGCGACAGCGATGGCGACGCGGAGCGGTTACCAGAGCTTATTGCACATTGCCGGAGCGGAGTCAATGTCAATTGGGACGATTGAAGGGGGCGAGATTGAGGAGGAGGGGAGTGATTGATGATCATGATGTCTCTTTAGAGTTTTTTTATTGTGGGAGTGGTAAAAGAAGAGAAGAGAAACTGTTTGGGCTGGCTAAACAACAGTTGGGAAGAATTTTATTCTCCAATTTCACCCCCATGCCCAGCTATTATCGAACACCCATGGCAAAACAAAGAGGGAGAAGCTAAGCTAATGCACTGACGAGCCTGGGGAACGAGCTCTTCACAACCTCTCCCGTATTGTCCACGTGCCGAGGGTTTTCTAGCGTCCCCTTCACCTGCACAACTTTCGGGCGGATGCAATCACAATCAGCACTTCGAAACTGAAAATTTTTTTGGGCGTCGCATCGGCATCAGAATTTAAGGCGTTCGGTTGGGTTGCCGCATCCAGCAGCGTCATCTTGCATCGACGCCACAACCTCAGTGTTGCGCCACAGCAGCCTCCACCGACGCCGGCGTGAGATGCTCCATATCGTCATTCAAGCCCTCGTCGACGATTAAGGCAACGTGGCCGAGTGGTCTAAGGCGCTGTGTTCAGGCTTCATCCTTCCCGGATGCTGGACTTCGCAGTTCGAAAGAGCACGAGTTCGAATCTCGTCGTTGTCAGCATTTTCTTTTTTCCTCTTTTGGTCGTATTGTTTGCATCTATAGATGCTTCCCTTTTGAATTTGTCGAGAGCTTGTAAGCATTGATGCAAAAACTTCAAGTGTTTATCGTGTACCGATATAACTTTTATCTGCAACGGGACTAACTTTTATCCTTATAGAAACCTGCAGACACGTTTCCGAATCCTGCAAACCCGTTTTCCTGGAGTATCCATGAACAGTGCAGTTCGGCTGAAGCTGCAAGCCTCGCACCGGATGAATTGAAATCCTCATCATCTCCACACTCTAGCTGGTCAGTTACGCCAATTACATATCAAGGGCGGCTCCGATAGGCAAAAAAGCAAATGATGTCGCCAAATTATTCCGTGTTACATGGCGAAAGAACCCGTGCACCGGATGCATGGTAACTGGCAGCTCAGTCGTCACTGGTTCGGTTCAGGGCGGCGAGATAGCTATGAAGCGAGCGAGCAGAATCAAAAGCTCCACCAGTAAAGCTCCACCAGTAAGCCAGGTACTCCGACTTTTCCGTTTGTTCAAGCTTGCCAAAAGCTAAGCTAAGCTAGCTCGACCAGCTCAAGGTTTTGACCAAGCGGGGCACCGGGTTAGAGTGGGCCACGACGTATTATTATCTTCTCGTCATCGATATTAAAGATCTAGTCTCCGATATACGGAGGAACTAGAGTGGAGAATCCCGCGGCCCGCCTTGACAGACAGACACTCGAACAGTCGCATGCCATTGAAGGAAAAGTTTTAGTTTTAATCGACGTGTCGACTCGGAGAGACTCATTTTATAAAAGACGAGCTGCCAGAGGGTCGTGGAGACATATCAGCGTACCGAATTAGAAGCCGAATCCCCGCTATTAACCTTATTTAAACTAGATTAGTGCGAGTTATCAGGGGGAACGCAGACGAATGGAGGGCTCGTCTCGGAAACAGCTCTCGTTTTGGCCAAAGCGGACCCGAGTTGACTCCGGGATATCAGACCGAGATATAGCGTTAGCTCCCTCGGTGGCTCCTCGCAAGATCTCTGCAAATACCCGGGTCCAGGAACACCAGAAACGATGTCTTTATCACTGGCCTGATCTGTGTTTCCTTCTTGTTTTTTTTTTTTCCTTTTGATTCTATTTTCTACTTTTCTCCCGTCCGGCTAGCTGCTGTTCCGCGATCATTGTCATCATTTAATTATTTCCAGCGGATTAGTTGACGGTAGGCTCTGACAACTTTGATCGAATCACGCCGGACCATCCTCAGCGTTATAATATACGGTCGTATTATTGCTGCGAAGCTCGAGCCTTCTTGCCTCCTCGTCATATTATTGGCATTATTATTGTTTCCATTGCTATTAATATCCTTACCTTTTTTTTCACCTATTCCTTCACACTAATTAATACCCTGCCATCGTCCTTACAAAAAGGAAAACTGCAAAATCTTGATCTTTCATTTCCAAAATTGCCACACTCAAGACAACAGTCCTTTCGCCTGTTCCCGGATCGAACCTACACCTTGATATATTCTTCCAGACGAACCTTCTGCTTCTCGTCACGAATAGAATCCCGATATCATGGCAACGCAAAAGCCAAAGTGCCTGCTGTTGGGCGAGATTGAGCAGTGAGTGTACCTTCCCTCCCCCTCGTCGCCCTTTCGAACCAACGTTGCGACCTCGAGGCCTGTCCCGTCAGAGATTAGAATCTGTGCGCCGGTGCAACGTCCATGCGATCAACGAACCCAATTGCCCTTCTTAGGGATCCAGGGCAGCTGTATCTCCCAGGGACCCTTCCTTTTCCCTTCTCCCAATTGAGACTTTTACCGTGGCTGTCCCTTTCCTTCGGTTTCGTTTCCAATTTACTTGGGTCCTTTGCGACGCCGGCGGCGGGTTTCCGTTCGCCTTTTTCTCGTATCGCTATCGATATCGCAACCGAAAACGGGAGGGGAGCTCTGAATGGCTAGCCGAACGAACCACTCCATCGGTTCTTGGTCTCGTCGCGAATCAAAACCACCCAATCGGTACCAGCTCAGTCCCGTTACAGACGTTATTGACCTCTTTTTGTCCTATGCAGTGCCCATGACGAGTACAACGCTCTAGCAGAGTTCGCCGAACTCGTCCTGCCGACATCCACAAACCGCGAGGATTTCATTGAGGAATGCAAGTCTGGAGCCTTGGAGGGTGTAGTGGTCGCATTTCGCACGTTCGCCAGTATCACCATAACGGGTCGTATTGACGCCGAACTCGCGCAAGTTCTCCCGAAGAGTCTCAAATTCATCTGTCACAATGGTAAGCAACTTTGTATAATCCATCGGAATGTTACTTATATTTCTAATGCTTGTGATATTTTATTTCGTAGGTGCTGGTTATGACCAACTCGACATTCAACCTCTCACAGATCGTAAAATTCGCGTTTCCAACGTCCCCACGGCGGTCGACGATGCGACAGCCGATGTAAATATGTTTCTCATCCTGGGTGCCCTGCGTAATTTCAACATTGGCATTTCCGCGCTTCGAAACCTAGAATGGAGGGGCAAAGCCACGTTAGGGCACGATCCACAGAACAAGGTTCTAGGGATTTTGGGAATGGGAGGGATTGGAAAGACGTTGAAGCGACGGGCTGAGGCTTTCGATATGATTATTCAGTATCATAACCGAAAGAGGCTGGATGAGGAGCAGGAGGATGGGGCCAAGTATGTTTCTTTCGATGAGTTACTAGCTACCTCGGATGTCATCAGTTTGAACCTTCCTTTGAATGTTAGTATCGCCTTTCCTCTTTTACTCTCTTTGAAAAATAGTTGAGATTTGTGGATTCGGGTGCTTAGCTGACTTTGTATTTTTGACAGACTCATACCCGTCATATAATTTCAACGGCTGAGTTCGCAAAGATGAAGGATGGAGTAGTCATCGTCAACACTGCCCGCGGAGCTGTCATAGATGAAGCAGCTCTAGTTGAGGCATTGAACAGCGGTAAAGTTCGAAGCGTTGGACTAGATGTTTTCGAAGAAGAACCCACAGTTCATCAGGGACTTGTTGACAATCCTAACGTCATGCTCATCCCACATATGGGTACTTTTACGGTTGAGGTTAGTTGCGCAAACCATCTTTTTCTCCTTTTCCGGAATTAGCAATACTAATGGAATGGAATACTGCAGACTCAGACCAAGATGGAAGTCTGGAATATCGAGAACGCAAAACTGGCACTCACCGAGGGTCGTCTGAAGTCTCCCGTCCCAGAACAAGGTGATGTCACCGATTGGGATTGAAGAGCTCGTTTTTAATAAGAAAATATACTTGAGATATGCCCGCGTCGAATATTCGCACCACAAATTCTCTCCAATACCATGTCGTGGTGTGATTTATTGTACTTTCATTTCAATTTTCTTTTTTTCTATATTAGAAGAGACTGGTTCTAGAGATAGAGATAGAGGAGATCTTTAACTTGGGACAGTTCGCAAGGTGGTAATTAATATTAACCATCTACGACGCTTCATACATACAATATTTTAGTATATAATGGCGTTCGCAGAAATGGGACTGCAGAGTCCCGAAACAATAACGATAAAAAAAAATATATCAAAATAAAGAATATGCATTCTACAGCTTTCAAATCAATTGCGAGACCAATAATTCTCAACTACACAGTACAGTGGGAAAAATGACCCGAAGAACAAGCTATAGTTATACTGGTAGCTAAGATTAGAAACCCCGGTAGATGCAATAAAGCACACCAATTTAAAAGCCAAACGTGAAAACGATATCTAAGAACGATACGACAAGAACAGAAAAGTATGCTAACGAATGACACCAAAAATATTACATTTCCTTCCAAAAACCTAAAAATCATTTGCTATTTCCATCTGCCCTCGCTTGTCTGGATATACCAAGAGGTTACGAAACCCTTCCACAGCTCATAGCCGTCCGAATATCGATCTGCCAACCCGTACCGGGGATCGTCATATGTCCCTCACCGCACCTTAAAATTACATCACAACACAGCAGCTGTTCTGCTTCTTCGCGGTCGTATAAAACATCTTGCTGGCGCTGCTGAGGTTATCACTCTTCTGTACCAAATTGTTCAAATTCTCCCCTCGCTCCAGCACGCTCTCGATGGTCTTGTGCAGCACAATCTTCGTCTCGTCCAGTTCTGCCTGGATCCTTGAAATATTGTCCGCCTGCGACGGTTGCTGGTACTTGACAATGTAGTCTTTGAGGGAGGGTAAGTCAAAGGTGGCGGTACTGCCCCAGGTCGTGCGGGGGTATTTTGTGAGGAATTCGTCGAGAAGACGGTTGAGGAGTTCGTGGGGTATACGTTTCGGGTACGCAGAATTGGTGATGATGATGCCTGTGCAACCTTCGGAGCGGGTATAGGCGTGAACCATATACTCTTGAAAGGGGAATATCAGCTTGTTGTTTAGATAAATCGCAGCTAGGAAGGATTTTGGTGCTTACTCTGCTCTTCTACGCTTTGTCGAATGCCGGTGGCTGTTCTTTCAGCGATCGTGGCTGCTGTGAAGCGCATGAAGTCCAAAACACTATTTTAGGTACAGAGGTTAGAATTGGGACGGCTTTGTTTTGAATCTGGAGTCACATGCCTTGCTCTTTGGAAGTATCCAAAGCTCTGGACATCACTGATATCGAGCAGCTGCTTGGCTGGCTTTGCACTGCTATCATAGATCTAGAGAAGGCTCCTATCAGCATTTGTTGTACCCATCGAATCGATATATTTGAGGCAAGTCGCCGGTGGCGTACACCAATGTAAAAGACGGCCGTGGCGTCGGCATTGCTAGGACCGCTCATTTTCGAAAGCTTGGGTGTTGGATTAAACTTGAGAGGTTGGAGTTGGGAATTGGACGGAGCTGTGGAGCTAGCGCCTATTTATTGTGACGGGAGGTGTGGCTCGGAGGCGACAGAAAGGAAGCAGTATTTGGTATGTATTGGCCTCTGATAACAGGTCGTGAGGATGCTGGTAGTTGCTGGTGACGATGCAGAAGAAGGAGAAGGTCAAGTGAGTGAGT